GGATGGTGTAGCTGCAGGATGGTGTAGCTGCAGGATGGTGTAGCTGCCAACAGTTAGTTGAGCAGGAGGCCACGAGGTGAGCACAGTCTGAGCGTTGAACAAACAATAAAAGGCCTCTCGTTTGATTGTGTTGTTGCTGGTGGTTTTTTCTCCTCTGTAATCTGCATGTCCAGATGGCTCAATGACCCCCCCCCCGTTGTTAACAGCACAGCTGGCAGCCCGAGTGAGAAGCAGCAGCAAGAAAATGAAGAAGTGAAAGAGCAGAGAGGAGGAAAGAAAGGCCAGCCATGGAGACCAAACCTTTGTGGAACAAACTTGAACAGGAAGTGGAAACTTACCTAGATCTGTGTTGGGCCCCCCCAACAACTGTTTGAACTTATCCAGACGCGACGCTTCCCTCTCGGTCATGGCTGGCGTGCCCGATGTGTTCTGGTCTGCCATGCGAGCTACTAGTGGGATGACGGGCGGCCGGTGGGGCAGAGACCTCTGTCTGTGGAGGGCGGCGCGCTCACCTTCTTCATCTGGTGGACGAGCAGAGACGAAAGGGATCGGATCAGTTTTCAGGCTATCCGGACTCAAAACGGTTCAGTTTCACAAGTACATGCATGGACCCAGCTGGTCTTCATTATCAGGGGAAGGAGCGGTTGTACGTTCAACCATTAACGCTCAAACGGGAAGACAACGCATTAATTCAGTTTCCTTAGTGCCACATGTTGCCCCAGATGTGCTTAAATAAACAGGCAAACACCAAGCTGCCTCTTCTGTCATGCTGAACACTCGCTTTAGGTTCTGCTAAGAGGCCCGCCAAGAGTCCAGAGTGTTCGAACGAAACGGCAGAACGTCTGAAGCAGAATTACAAAAACGCTCCACAGCAATTAAAAGTGACAAGCTGACGCCGTTAATGACCAGTTCTGTTCTTACAGGACCAAAGAACAGGAAACGAATGTGCTCCCAGTGCTTTGTCTGCACTTGGAGAAATGAAAAGATGTTGGAGCTGCTGCATGTGTCGAACAAGAAGACCATTAAAGACCAACACGAAACTTTTACAGATGCACTTTATGAAAAATAAAGTGCTCACGACTTGTTTCCAAAGAAACAGATCACTTCTTATAATTAGGAAATGAATCAAACACGTGTCTGAGCGTGCACGTCGACACGAGCGCGGACTAATTTATTCTAATCTTGACAGGAAGTTATTTTAGTCGACGTGCAGAACAAACGTGCACCATCACAAAAACAACCACAACACTGCACCTGCCAGAAACACACTGGTCAAACATTAAAGAATTACATTACTGTTGTACCGTCATACATCCATCATACATCCATCCATCCATCATCCATCCATGCATCATCCATTATCATCCATCATCCATCCATCATCCTCCATCCATCATCCATCCATGCATCATCCATTATCATCCATCATCCATCCATCATCAATCATCCATCCATCCATCCATCCATCATCCATCCATCCATCCTCCATCATCCATCCATCCATCCATCATACA